GGGTAAGTATACTTATAAGCTTGTAGTTTCTGGTTAATAATATTTTAAGTGAAACACAAAATATTAGTGAAGAAAAAGGTTTAATCACATGGATTACTAATAAAAAAAAATACCATAGTTCAGTTCGGCAATGCGTACGACTCAACGTTACGCCTTGCGAACCTCTCTGTGGTCCCTGTTTATATGAGCAGACGTCCTACTCATAATGAATGGACGGGTCTATGTTGAAAAATTAGTGTATAGAAGGTTGCTCGTTTTTCTACACAGCAAACGTCTCACTCCCCCCTCCTCTTTGCTGCATGAACCACATGGTAATTACGTTCTCACTGAGGAACGTTAGTTTTCCGCGGTCCCCTGACGACTGAACTCTCTTCTCACTTTCCAACGTAGGGCACTAGCACGTGTCTTCCAAAAACCTCAAGCCATCTCTTTGGTTGTTCCAAATCAGCGTAAGGCTGATTTGAGCGCGAGCATAGAAACGATGCTTGCACTGATTTAACCTAACCAAGAAAACGGACATCCCGTAAACATGTTTAAACCTTCCAATGATAAAGTAAGTAGAAACTTTCCTTTGGTTGTTCTAATTCTGCGCAAAGCTGACACGAGTTCGACTATGAATACAGTACTTATACTTATCTACCCTAACTTCTGAACAAAAAAAAGAAAACGGGAATACCGAAGAAACATCGAGAAATTAGTTTCACTACAGTCACCGGAAAAAGAATAAACAGGCATAGAAATCAAAGTTTTATTTTTTGTATGCTTCTTAATTGTTCACGCAACCTTTTAAATTCTATAAGTCTTCTTTGCCACCAAATAGAGTTAAATAAGCAGCTATTCATGGGTATTTTATGTCGGCCGAAATATATCCGATGACATAAAGTTGAGAGATCCCTTATAAATTAAAATACCTCTATAGCTTGGGTTTCGTGGAAGTATGACAAAAATGGACATCACGCTGTCGTAACACCGGTTTAATAAAAGACGGCGACATCTGTTAGCAAATAAATGCTATTTTGTTTTTGTTCATTTTCATACTTTATAGAAATAAACGTCTCATATCCAATAACAAATCTTAATCCATAATCGCCCCTCTCACCAATATTAGCAGATCATCCAAAGACAACATCCGAAGGCAACAAATAACACTCAAGTCACCGTTAAAGAAAGCAAGATAGTTACCAAACTAAATACGTATTTCTTTGTCAGTAGCCTTTTCAGTGTTTGTGAGTTTTTAAAAAGTAATTCTGTGTCCACGATCTTCACACACACACACACACACACACACACACACACACACACACATATATATATATATATATATGCATTTATATATATGTACTTATATATATATATGATGGACTTAATGATAACACTCATAAGTTATTTTAACGTGAATTAAGTTGTCAGAAAGCCACACATGCTTTGATTATAGTGGTGAAGGCATGTGTAGCACCATCCACACTTCTTGGAACTGCTGATAACATGACGTCGGTGCAAAAGTTTGCCACGGACACCACGAACAACAGACTTCAGGTTTTTTCATCAGAGTGTCCTTCTCCGAGATGCCTGTCTTAACAAAGACTGAGGAGGGCATCTCTCCCAGTGGATTATCCGCGCCCCCAGACACCAACCTGGGTACTTCTACGTCCCGGCGCTATATATATATATATATATATATATATATAGAGAGAGAGAGAGAGAGAGTGAGAGAGAGAAAGAGAGAGAAAGAGAGAGAGAGATACATATATATACGTACACTTACTGAAACAGAGAGATTGATTGATTGATAGATATTAGCTTGAGTCGTAACGTCATACGTAATTTCCTTTTTGGGAACTAATTGCAATGTCGAATGTCTCATCCTATCTAGTAATCATACGTGGCAGTTAAGAACGTACTTACACACATACACACGTGTTTATATATATATATATATATATATATATATATATATATATATATATATATATATATATATATATATTTCTTATTACTATAAACGTTAATTCTGAACTTTCCTCTGTGGTACCTAGACTTTATCAATTGAAGCGCAGTACTAGATTGGCGGTAAGGTCCCATCATTTTACAGTTGAACTGGCTAGATTTAATCGTAAGTTCTACGCTAACAGTTTTTTCTCTTCCACTTCTTGCTTGTGGAACTCTCTTCAGTTTTCTAGCTTTCCAGACAAGTGTAATGTTCAAAAATTTAAATGTAATGTCCATCGCTATGATATGTTTTCTTAATTTCTGTTCATTTATTGTTCTTACTCCTTGATAATGTTTTTTTTTTCATTTTTTTATATTCTTTCACACTCAATAAACCTTGCGTTTTAGTAGCTTTATTGCCTTGCTTGGGGTGAAATAACAAAAAAAAATGTATAATGCTAAACTAAATCTTTACTTTGAGTCCATCAGGTTAGCAATACAGAAACTTTATTTTTATAACCGGACAAAAATATCAGTTAAATTTCCCTAGCCAGAAATTGAAAAATCAAGACTTTAAAAAAATCGTGTTGCATTTACAAGCGTAATACGAACTATAGAGGTCATAAACTTTAATCTCTCCACGATTTTAATCTACTTATATGTCTTAAAAAACATAGTACAGTTTTATGCCTGTGTTTATTGCCGCTATAAAATGTGGTACAGATAAATTTATGGTCAGTTTGCGCAACAAATTTTTATGTGAACCAATAGAAGGACACTTAAATAAAATAAAAATTCTATACAGAAACTCTCTCCTGAATACGACATTATGATATCAGGATTGATTTTAGGATTTTACAATTTTATGATTTCAAGGCTTACTTAATGATTTCATGATTTCAAGTGTAATTTTACGATCTTAGTATTTTTATGAATTCAGGTTTGATTTTATAATTTTATGTTTTCAGATGTGATTTTACGATATTATGACTTTAGGGTCGATTTTACGCTTTTATGATTTCAAGGGTGATTTTAATATTTTATGATTTCAATGGTAATGTTTCAATTTCACGGTTTGATGTTTTCAGGGGTGATTTTACGATTTTATGATTTCATGGGGGATTTTAAGATTTTATGATTTCAAGGGTGATTTTAAGATTTTATGATTTCAATGGCAATGTTTCAATTTCATGGTTTAATGTTTTCAGGGGTGATTTTACGATTTTATGATTTCAGGGTTGATTTTATGAATTAGAGGTTGGTTTTAAGATTTTATGATTTCAGGGTTGATTTTATGATTTCAGGGTTGATTTTATGATTTAGAGGTTGATTTTAAGATTTTATGATTTCAGGGTTGATTTTATGATTTCAGGGTTGATTTTATGATTTTAGGGTTGATTTTATGATTTAGAGGTTGATTTTAAGATTTTATGATTTCAGGGTTGATTTTAAGATTTTATGATTTCAGGGTTGATTTTAAGATTTTATGATTTCAGGGTTGATTTTAAGATTTTATGATTTCAAGGCTGATGTTTCGATTTTTTGATTTCAGATTTGATTTTACAATTTCATGTTTTCAGTGTTGATTTTACGGGTTTATGATTCCAAAGGTAATTTTACAATTTAATGGATTCAGGGGTAGTTTTACAATATTATGATTTCAAGGTTCATTTACACAAAAAATACAAAGTATTCACTTTTTAAAATTTTCGTATTTCAAATAAAAAATGAAACAAAAAATGTTTTTTTTTAAAATGAGGTTACTTGAAATATTTTTTTAAACAGGCCCTAAATATTTAAATTGAAGATTTCTTCATGATAATGATTTTCAAATAATTTATGATTCAATAAATACATATTTCATGTCCATGATCTCTTATTAGGGGAGTGCAAATGACATGAGGCCATGTTCTTGTTTTCTTATTTTTATCTGGGATTATATCATCCGTCCACAACATGTTAAATTAATATTCGTGTGCAATATTAAATGAAAACATGAAATAAAACGTGAACAGATTTTGTTGTGTACGCAAGAAGAAAACATATTTATTAAATGATTGATTTTTTATTAAACATACAATTGCTTACATATTTGATTCATATTGTTCACAGAACAGACACACACACACACACACGCACACACGCACACACACACACACACACGCACACACACACACGCACTCACATATATATATATTGATTTTTATGTATTAACGCAAAGAAGAAATGGTTTCAGGCTTATCTGTATGAAGAGGCATCTCTATTTTGTACTCATTTAAGAAGAAAGAAAGAAAGAAAGAAAGAAAGAAAGAAAGAAAAAAAGAAAGAAAGAGAAACTTTGTATTTTCCCGCTAAAACTGTCTTTTTAGTGCACTATGGGAATTCTACTTCCCTTCTTTTACTATAATCTAACAATCAGGGGACGCAACTCCTGTTTTTTTTATTTATGATTCACTAGTCTCTTATTGGATGGAGTCAAAGGCCACATTTAGACCTTTCACAAGGACCAGCTTAAAACTGAGCGACATTTCATCTAGCATTGGGTTGTCAGTATTTTTCCAATGTTATTTAAATTAACGCGCAAAATATTTCTTACCGTCGGGTATGTTTATTTCTTTTGTTTTTGTAGATTTATTCTTCCTCTAAAACTTTGTTTATTGTTTTATATTTTTGGCGGATGCGTTAAAATTGTTGATGAATAATAGGATTAAAATAAATAAACAAGTGAATTTATATGACAAACCCAATATATATATATATATAATATAAACATCGTTTAGTAAAATCAAATGTGAATATTCATTGATTGATTCGTTCTTTTACGGTCTATGATCGCTTTACATGTTATTTAAAGACAAAAAATATATTTAGATTGTAAAAAATTTTTTGGGGGGTGGATAATAATGGTTTAGTACTAAAATTTTTACTAATTAACACATAGCTGAGGGTGAAGAGGTGGATTCATACCTTTGAGCCTAAGTAAATATAACGAATATGACTGGAGTTTGAACTCGGCTCTCTGATTAACAATTCCGAATCATTAACTATTAAAACCACTCGCACATCCAAGTTTACAGCACCTGATATTCCCAAGCGGTCACTCATCTAGGTACTGACCGGGCTTGACGTTGCTTAATTTCGATGATCGTACGGGAACTGGTGTTTCAACGTGATACAGCCGTAAGTAGATGTGAGTATTGCTTAGAAGTTTGTTAAATACATTTATAATTTTTAAAAAAATGAATATAATCGCAAGAAAAATATGAGTGATGTAAATAATTCTTTATTTTCAGTATCTAAGTTAACCTTCATCTGCAACACGCCTAAATTGTCAAGAGACACTGAGTGGCTATGATCAGTATTCATGCCGAGTGCAATCGAAAAAAGCTCTTGCAATTACGAAAGATACGGAAGTTGACGTTTATCATCAAATTTATTTTTTATCATAAAAAATGTTTCAGTCGAAACATTGAGAAAGTCTAAATATATTTGGAGGACATCATCTCTTTTGTTATTACCGGATCTTCCAGAATATACTGGGTATGATGGGTAAGTTGTTGACATTTTATATTTTTAATTTCGCGCATGCGCGTTGTTTGATTTTGATTTTGTCGATTGCACAGTATAGTAGGGTCAGTTGGGAAGCGTCTGTGTGAGAAAGAGCACCATGGCGCAATTCATTCTGCCAGAAATTTGAAAACGGCATGCTGTACTGCTTGGCATTCGCATCAGAAGCTCCAATACGAACATTTCAGAGTCAATCTGAGGACAGTGCAGAGGATTCTGAAAGAGTTGGGTGAGTCTAATGGTGATTATGAAGGTACAGCAACTTGGAAAACTAACTTTGATCGTTCTGATAAGAAAAGAATTCCCGAATTTGTTACTGAGGGCTTCAGACTCAACACAGAGGCCTACATCAAGTGTCTTGATGAAGTAGTGCTACCCTGGGTCAAGAGGGTAGCTGCTGAAAGACCTTGTGTCTGACAACAGGACTCTGTCCCATGCCACGGAAGCAGGAGAAGCTAGTCATGGCTGTCAGACAATTTCTGCGACCACATCATCCTTTACATCTGGCCAGAATGTAACTCATTGGTTATTATGTGTGGGGCGCAGTTGAGCGAAAGGGCAACACAACTCCTTGTAACACAAAAGATGAACTGAAGGCAAGGAATTATGGTAGCATTCACCAACTTAAACAAGGAGACCGTCCAGAAGAGATGCAGGAGATTACAAAGTCGTCTGGGGGTCGTGGTTGAAGCCAATGCGATTTTATAGAATAAATTTACTTTGTGTTAGTAATATTGGTAAATATGTCTGCTAAAATGAGATGTCAGTGTTATTTTCGTGTTTGCGCAATTTAGACGACAATTTATCCATCGCACTCTGGATAAAATGCATTCTTACTTTGACGACAAATTTTAACGGAGGGAAATGCTACAGTCGTATTTTGATCTTTATTGAACTAAAATTCAATTTAGTACTTTAAAAAAGTAGTATAAGCAGAATTTAGTATATTTTGCTACTTAGGCCTAACATACTGTTCTTCGGCTTTTGTTGACCAATCCAACTTGATACTAAACGTGAACCAGACGACTGACTATCCAATGAATCGATTAGATTATCAATGTTAATTGCTAAGCGCAATGGATATTTGAAATCCCTACCATGTATTTACTCTGTCTCCCCACTAAGACGAGTTGTGACACAAGGTCAGGTTTTTGGGGGGTTTTTTAGGTAGGTACCTAGCGCGTACATCCGGACTAGGAACAAAAATTGCCCGCAGCCCCCGCAACCGTCGGTTGCACAGGCCGCAGTGCGAGCACCGATCCCTCTCCCTGGTGCAATGAGAGGGCGCGGCCTCGGGCAGCTCTTCCCCAGTGCTGGGCACCTCTCAATATAATTTTCCTCTGTTGCAACTCTGAAATCCATACTAGGTACTTACTCTGTCTCCCCACTTTTTTTTTGGTGGGGGGTATGTACCCGAGCGCGTACACCCGGGCTAGGAACAAAAATTGCTCGCAGCCCTCGCAACTGTCGGTTGCGCTGGCCTCAGTGCGAACACCGATCCCTCTCTCTAGTACAATGAGAGGGTGCGGCCTCGGGCAGCTGTTTCCTAGGGCTGGGCATTTTTCTCGGTATAATTTTCCTCAGTTGCGACTCTGAAATCCTTAATATTGTTAAGATAATATTCAAAATGGTGCCTGAGATATTTTTTGATAATCTTGGACAATTTTGGGATGCTGAATTCAAAAGCAACATCCATTTCCCAATAAGTGATTTAAATTCGAATATTGAGAGGAATTTTTCTTCCATAGCGTTAAAAGCCCTGGTATAATCTTTCACCCTGCTCAGCACTAACATCACCTTAATTAAATTTATATCACTGACAAACCTGAGTTTCTAACACCAACCTTTGATTCAGAGTATGTAAAGTGGTTACACCAAAGGATTTTATATCGTTTCAATTCATGACAATATAATTACACTGTATTTATTAGCATGTATTATATCCAAGGACTTTATATCTGTTTTATTCATAATATAATTACACTGACATTAACGCGGATGTTCCCAAGGCTCCATCCTTGGTGCTACGGTGTTTTTAATTTTCGTTAACGACCTTCCAGATGACATCAGCTCTCAACTTGATATCGACGCTAACGACACAACCATTTATCTCGCCTCCATACTAAGGCTGATCAGTCCGACAAGGTTAAAATGGCAGCTGTCCAAAACAAACTCAAGTTCGTCATTAACTGGGGAAAAAAAGGCTTGTCAATTTTAACGCCTCTAAAACCAAACTTTTTCATCCGAGAGATCCCTGGTTGCCTTCCATCAGCATCGCTGATGCTAACCTCCAGTAAAATGACTCGTTGTGCCTTCTCTGGTTAACATTACCAGCTGACATGAAGTGGAAAGACTATATTGAATCCATTGCTAGGTCAGCTGTTAAGAAAGTTGGTTCACTGTGTCGTGCGAGACAATTTTTCTCTCCAGAATCTATCTTACATATCTATAAGTTTACCATTCGTCCATGCTTAGAATATTGCTGCCACATAGGGTCCAGCGCCTCTGCTATTTACCTTGAGCTCCTTGATAAGATCCAAAGAAGAATAAGCAATATTATTGGCCCTGATCCGGCAGCTCGGCTTCAGTCACGTACCCACCAACGTAAGGTTGCCTCTCAGTGCCTTTTTTTTTTTATAAATACTTTCATTGTAATTGTTTGGGTGAGCTCTTCGCTATAGTACCTAGACTGTATGAATTTAATCGCTGTACGAGACTGGCGTCGAGATCTCATCAATTTACAGTTGAGTTGGCTAGGTGTAGCCGTAAGTTCTATGCTAACAGTTTCTTTTCTCGCACTTCTCGCTTGTGTAATTCCCTTCCGGTTCGAATCTCACCACGTTTGTTTTGTCAGGAAGGAGACTTTCTGATGTTATCGATCTGGAGGGGGGGGACATCGTGCGGAACCTTTGGAAAGTGCCTGAAAAACCATACCACCGGTTGACCCAAGTCTTGTGAATGAAATTGGGTAGAGGAAAACCTTGGAGGACGTCGATAGCTGTGCTAGCACGAAGTCACAAGTCATCGTGTGCTGGCCTTGTTCAGATTGTTGATCACGCTAGATAACACGCTCTCTCCCAGAAACTGTAACTAAGGTCTGCTCAGCATAGTTGCAGTATAAACCACAGGAGGGCTCTGTGGGTGTTGAACAAACACAAATGTGCCTAAGCGAGTGTCTGCAATAGGGATTGGCTAGCCGCTCTAATAGACGGGTATCATCGAATACGAGTAGCCAGGTATCATTTATGATAGATAGATAGATAGATAGATAGATAGATAGATAGATAGATAGATAGATAGAAATGGAATGGAATAGATAGATAGAGATGAGCGGAATGAAATAGATAGATAGATAGATAGATAGATAGATAGATAGATAGATAGATAGATAGATAGATATAGCCAATTAATAGTCATTAGACTTGAAAACGTTGAAGCACTTCTAAGTAAATGGAATAGCATTGAAAATCGACTTCGCCAATGTATTGCAAGGTTAGTTTGATAGCCACACCTTTCAACAGAGATTGAGGGGGTGTTCACATTAATACACAGAAAAATATAGGTGTGCATTTGTTGCATTATCATTCATAAAGGTTAAGAAGCACATCTATGAAATTCTCTGTTTTATTGGTGGGAGAAGTTCATGGAGTGACAGAAGTAATAAACCGTTTTGTATACAGTTAGCAGCCATGTTTCCCAGCCTTTCCTTCTATGAATACAATAGCGAGGACAATGATATTTCTTTGTCGTTGAAAAGATGTCGGAAAATACATATCTTTTCTCGAAAAAGGACAAACATATTCGCAAAATACAATCAAGTTCGTATGAATTGTTAAATTGCACTTCCCTCGTGAAACAAATGGATTGAATCGATTTCTTCTTTTTTTTCGCGTGGAAGTCGACAGAAAATTTATTCTAAATTGTTTACAGAAATAACATCAGGATTTGAACGCACCTCGAAGCAGAGAAATATATACAAAAGTCAATGAGTTCTCTACATATAAAATGTAATGTGCGTGCATAATGTAAGAAAACACTAATAAACACGGAAACAACTACACATTAGCTTCAAACGAGACAAAAATAACAAGAAACATAATGAAACATAGATACCACTACAGGGGGCCGACATTATTTTTCAGACACTTTATTTATTCAAGTTTTATGTAGCATAGGCAGTCTGTACCGTTTTAGTGTAATGGCAATAACATTTAAAAACTGTTTCAATACTACAAATGGAAAAGCAGAATTCAAATTAGAAGTATTTTTATTTTTTTACAAATTTTCACATTACATAGGCGACAGTATTTTTCGGACATTGCAGAAACAATGCTAATAGTTTATGGCAGCACCCTTTTTTTTCAATGATTTCTATCAGTCTATCTTCATAATGTTCGTACATACTGATAATAACGTCTCTTCGTATTTCTAGTAGTCTATTTTTAGCATCTCGTATGCGCTGCCACAGTTCAGTACCTCCACAGAAACGCGATACCTAAGGTTTAAAATGAATTTTAAAAAATGAAAAATCTTTCTTGAAGCTTTTATTTTAATATCTGTCTATATTTCTGAGATGTGGTATTATGTACACAATTTACATTATTCGGACTATTGTC